TCATAATAATTTATAGTTATCTCATGAAATTACTCATCTGGACATTGTTAAATTTATTTTTTTATATCAAAATAATTTTAAAACTTTTTTAATGAAACATGAAATATATTTGTTGTAATTTAAATTAAATAAATTTAATTACATTCTTTAGATTGACATTAATGTAGTGTAAATTATGTTAAACTCATTGGATGGAATTAAGATAACAAAATGGGATCAAAAGTTGCGTATGAAATCATTTTCCTTATTTTATTAAAGGGAATTTAGTCAAGATGAGGGTTAGATTCTCTTGAATAACACATTGCATCCCGGATGTTACCTAATCTTTTCTCTCTCCTAAACCCTTCGTGAATTTTATCAGAATGGAATTTACTTGAAGGGTTGGATAAATTTAATATTCTGATAAGTACATTAATGGAGTCATGTTTGACATGCACTCTTTCCGTTCGTGTTAAACTAGAAAAATATTGGAAAACTTCTTTTGAAGATCAAGTATGAAGGGACTTGATGTTCAAGAAATTAATTCATTTAAGAAACTAATTGAAGCAAAATTTTCCTTTTAAATTTAAACAATTTTCAATAATCATCTTATCTTGAAATAAATTTCTTTTTATTTCAAACAAGTACATAATTAATTTTATAATACAATTCCATTTTATTAATGAGAGTTTCATTAGTCTAATCAACTTTTTTACATAATTATCTAAACTGACTATTGTTTGCTACTACTTAAGAATTCACTTGAACTTTTCAACTCATAGAGATAAATGATTGTTAGTTTTCAAGAACTTATTATAAGATAAAACTCTACATCAGTTTTAAACGTTGATAAAAATTGAATGAAAAGAATGCCTAAGCATGCCAGACAATCAATTATTTACTGTATTCTATTTTTTTTTATCAGTTGAGTTTTAATCAAATTAATTGAAAATTAATTTATTACTCTGAATCTTGAAAAATCTTTTTCCAATTCATCTAAATAGTTCTTTTTTATTTTAATTTGAAATAAATTAAATAGATAAGAATCATAATAATAAAATTTGACATAAAATTCATTACAAACGTAATTTGCGAATAACTTTCAATAGTTGAAATTAAGAAATTAAATAATTATTCTACTGATAAGTAATAAAATAGACTATAAATAATTAAAAAGATATTTCATGAATGAGGAGTTTTTAAGGTGGTACTTGAAATATAAAGTTAGTGTCCTTTATTTTTATTCTCCGTTAACTTCCACGATTTCATTAAGATTATAAAAAGTGATAATAGATATCACCAGGACTCGGGGGTAAGAATTAATGGAAATTGGTGCGAGGAGAAATCAGGTTGGCGCCAAGAATAAAAAAAAAGAATGCACACAAAAATCTGGAATCATTACGGTAAATGTTATCAACGTGGTTTGAAAAACAAGAGACTGATAGATTTAGTTTTTGAAGAAAACTATCATGTTAACAGTTTGCCAAAACTTCAATCAACAAAAAGCACTAGAATGGCTGAACTTTGTTAAAAAGTTTCCGTCAAGTGACTTAATATAAAGTGCAGCTAAAGAAAAAAAATACTTGAGGAATTAATTTCCGTAACACTCAATAAAGAAGAGAGAACATAAGTACTCTGGTTTACTATAGAAATTTTAATTAGCAAATAGTTTTTGTCACTTGGAGTGTTGTAAAAAAATTAGGCGATCTCTGTGAATAAAAGTATTGATCAATAAATATAAATATAACATAATAAATTTAATTGCTAAAATAGATAACTGAAGTAATAAATTATTTAGCATGGAATATATATATATATATCTCACACTGTCAACAACGTCTATGATAATGAATAAAATTAAAATGTCGAAAATATATGGAAACATTTAATCAATCAATTAAATAAATTGTCATGAATCATTTATTATCGGGGAGGAAAAGAGGAAAATCGATATGTCTCCGCATCAACTCATCATGGCACTGCCATTGAAACAATGAGAATTCAACGAGCCTTATGCAAAGTACATTTACGCATAGAGTGGGATAACTAGAGAATGATGCAATAAAAAAAATATCCATCTGTTACAAAATTGGACGAGACGAGACACATAAAAGCACACTTGTCTCTATGTATATACGACAATCTATCATTTACTTGAAATGAGTGAACAATTTATTATTATTTCTGACAGTGATAATTATTTTTTAATTTTTATCAGACATTATTAAAAATAGATTTTCATTTGAGGACTCGTTTCAATTAATTATTATTGATAAAATTTGTTATATTAATTGCATATAGAGTAGATCAAATTTTTATCGAGTTTTATTTTTATTTAAATATAAAACAATTCCTGAAACTTTTTTAAATGCAAGACTAGCTTAAAATTAACTACAATTTTTTAGCATAGTAGTTTATTATTTAGGTATTTGATATTAATATTCATCTTTAATATATGATAAATAAAAGAATATTAAAAAAAAAATCAAATAAATGATGCTCAAAATAAATTATTGTTTTGATTGGGTTAAAACAACCGTAGTCTGTGCACGTTCGTGTTACCCGTAGTGGCTGTGACATTATGTTGCATGCGCTCATTGTTTGCTCGTAGAATTTACTTGCAGGTGGTGTCTTGCTAGGTATATATCTGTGGTTTTGAAAAAACAAATAGATAAATAAAAAAAATGTGATTGTGAGGGCGTTAATAAACCCACGGACACTTGGTGATACAGCATTTTTTACCTTATTCTCCAGTGTGGAATTTAACTTCCTTCTTTGTTCATTTGTGCTATTGATCAAAATTTTTTCTAAACGTGAAATGAATTCATTGTCCACAACTAAGAAGGAAATACGGTTTCTCATTTTATTCTTTTAAAATTAAACATTAACTCAAGCATTATGAATCTAATTAAGAATATTTTCGCACTTCAGTTATTAACAAAAATACAGAATATATAGAGATTAGTTGATTTAGCTTACTCTTGTGAAGATCTAAATTACAAGCGATGGAGTAACTGTTTATGTAATAGATTAACCTGTTAATCTAGTAAGCCAATTATAGGGTCATATGAGTACATCCTTATTCAGAGAGAATTACTGTGATGATAAAGATTTTCAACTCGTACAAGACATCACTTAAGGGAGCAATATCTTTTGTAGTAAAACAAAAAGTCGTAACTGATAGATAGTAGTACGTCATATAAGGTTTACTTTTAGTACTAAATATATACATAACTTTTTAGATATTGTATTCGATGGAAACTTTTTATATCTTATCCTTGAGTATGAATAAAAATTTTATTCATGGGAAATAATATGATTTATCAAATAAATCATTACATATCTTTATGTTTTTGAAGTATTTTATTTTGACATACTTAAAAATTTTTATCTTACTCTTTACAATGCAAGTATGATTTATTTACGATTTTTTTACTCGTACTGATGCGATTTTATCAAGCGTTAAAATAATAAAGATAAATCAGTTAGTAGAACAAACCTCTAAAATAATATTGTTTTAGAAGATTAATTTTCTACAAGTCTAAATAGATTAAACGCATCAATGAGAATATTCACTTCAAGTTTTATTAATTATCAAAATTTTCGCAAATGCATTTATGTAACATAATTGATTTGATATTTCTGAAAATTGACAATTAAATGGTTTCATTAATAACGATAGAGGAATCTTTTCCTTGGTCTATTTAGAGAATGGCAATTTATTAAATCAATATCACTCTGAATAATTGATAGTCAATATTGATAGGTCTATAAAGTCTTGTTGCAACGATTTAGCCGTGATACAATTTATTTGAAGACGTTTAAATTGAATTTTATAATAAACTCATCCGAGTAGAGACAAACAATGCTGTTGTCACTCAGTCTGGAAGCTGAATGTATATACTCAGGAGAGAAGGTGGTTGATCACAGAGTCACTAGTTGTGCAGGTGTATGCAGAATTATGCATTTGATTAATTATCTGGTTAGGTAGTAAGCTAAAGCTTAGCTAAAGGTCCTTTCAACACAGATTACAAACCCTAGAATATGACAGTTAGAAACCAAAAGTATTTCTTCATAGACGCTCTGTTGAGTATATGTGACTGCTACTGTACGTATATAAGTCTCAGGAGGGAAACGACAAAATGGGATAGAATCGTTTGAACCGTTCCCGAGAGTGACATCGATGTAAAGAGAGCACAAGAGGAGAATCGTTCGACTATGGCATTCATCCAGTTCTGCAACTAAACTATTTCAGATCAATACACTTGAAGATCGAATTCAACGGTAACATGGAGCATATGTTTTCAAGAGTTTGTTGGTGATAACCACTTAACTTAAGAATACTCAAGGGTTCAGTTACCTTCTCAGGCGAATAACATTTTTTTTGCTCAGTGTATACAAAACTCTTTATATTCAGCTATCGTTATGTTCAATCTAAAAATCAATAGTCTCAATTATTACATTTTACCTCATTCTTTATTTCACGTCTGCTTAAGATCATTCTTTCATTCATACACCAGCTTATAGAGCACAATAATGCTTGTAATTATTGAGGAATTTCATATTCTTGCATTTTGTAAATTGTTAACATATACATTTCTATTTGATAAAATTCACCAAAGACTTCCATCATAAAAGTTTAAAGAAATTCCATTTCAATCTTAGCTGTAATTATTCTAACTTCTTGACTGAAATTGAAAAGTTTATCAAACAAATTGAAATGAATTTAGATCAACTGCAGGAATAACTTTATCAGCTTTTTATACCAATTTGTGGTTTTGTTTATACTTGAATTATTTACAATAACATTAATCATTCCATTTGAGAATTTCTATCAAAGATAAATATTTGTAAAATCTTTGAGAACAAAAGTCTTATTATAAATTACGAGTGACTTGTAATTTATTTGTTCATTGATTTTATTTATTTAAGTATAAATTTAGAACTGCTGTTTCATCATTATCTTCAACATGAGTATGAAGATGCTAGATTTGACTTTAATTAACAGTTGTAAGTTAGATTCATCAATTCTATTTATCATCAAATAATCAAGTCGTACAAGTTCTGATCTCAATGATTGAAACACTATGTTCGTATATTCATTAATTAGCAAGGATTCGTGTAGTTCACTAATTAGCTGTTCCTACACCAATCACGGGAGAAAGTTATTGTTTACAAAAAAATGATGATCAAGTTGTGTACCAGTGTAGGTGTGATGCTAAGAATCCATATGATAGAGTTCCTCGTGACATTTGATTATTAAACAGAAATAATGGAACACAATGAATTGATAAAGAGAAAAAATAAGCATGAAAAAGTCTAATAATTTAATAAACTATCTGATCTTTATGATCATAATTACTTTTAAAAATCCTACGCTAGCAAATTAATAATTGTTTGTAATAATCTATAATACTTTTTTAATTGAAAAAGCAAATTTCCAACATGATAGTAATCTCCTATTGACAGTAATGTTGTAGACAACGATCTATTTAACGCGGATAATATCAAAGTAGGAAATTGAAAAATCCTAGAGAGCTTTTTTCCGCAAGTTTTGTATGTTTTTTGCCTCAAATTCAGCAGATGAAAATACAAAAATCATAGACTAGCGAAGCTGGCTTTGCGTAGACATTCAGATATTTTTGCACAGAATTCATGCCGAGGATATTAATTTGCTGTAAAAATCAAAGCGACGAAGCTAACAGTTGAGAGGAAATAAATATATAAAAGCTGCAATCGAGCTTCAGATTCACATTTTTGGGTACAATAGTGGAAAAAAGTTGACATAAGAGAAAAAAAGGCAGGTTTTCTACCAACATAGAAGTATGATTACTGCGTTGATAGTGGTTAAAGATGAAAATATACCACATAGTGAGAGAATACAAGATGAAAAGCCAACTGGAAAAAAAGAATACAGTTGGAGAAAAGAATATAAGTCTAAGGTAGACTTTTAGAGGGATTTCTGTTGTTGAAGTTGGATGAGGTATGACCAATCTACTTATTCACTCAAGAGAACATCAAGGTATTACAAATTTTAGTCTTCTTTTTTTATCGTAACTTATCAGCTGAAAACCAATCACTAAAGTGTATAACCATCATCAAATAATATCATTCCTTTGAGGTATTAAATCTTTTATTAACTCTTAACTTTGTGGGATTCGGCAACATATATTTCTTTCTTTTCATCAAGAATTGTTTTTTTATTTTTTCATCGCCACGAATCAATAAACAATTAATTGCCTTTCACTGAGGGAAACTTCCCTCTGGAGAACAATAATTCATCCTAGCGATATATAGTTGGCAATTTTATTTACTTCTCGAGAAAATTATTTTAACTCGTAAAATAATTGATTGATACGATATTAATACAATATTTATTAAATAAATAAAATTAATTGATAAAAAATATTACCAACTTCTTTATTTTTTAAATATTGTATAGATTTCATGCAATTTTCACTAAAATTATCACGATGAAAATGGATGCTATTGGCTTCACTGAACTGTGCACATTGACCAAACGTCCATGATCATAACTTATCAATGAACTAATATAATTAAAAATAAATTATTTTTGTAATTTCAAAAGAAATAACGCGTAAAGTATATTATTATCTTTTTCTTATATTTTTCAATCAAAATTACAATGATAAAAATTGCTATTTCAATTGAATGTGATCTCTATGACACTTACTATTATTCTTACTCTCTTAGTAATAAAATTAGATCTGAATTACTGAATGAATGAAATATAGAAGAGCTTAAAAGATTAAATATTATTTCATGTGGTTTATAGAAGAAATTTTAATAATCAAAACATGAAATATCTTAAAAATCCATTTTCCTTTAAAAACTACTTTTGAAATATGAATGGTTTTGCTTTCAAATTTATTTGTAGTAAATTAATTGGCTCGTAATGAAATGAGTCTTTCAACGGCAAAATGAATAGCCAATAGTTGGAGGATAAATTTAAATTAACGATAAAGATTTAGACACAACTAGGTATTATAAATAATTCTACAGAATTTGTGAGGAACCAATATGTCTTGATTGTTAACAAACTATCTGTTCGAAGCAATCCAAACTATTTATGCTAATCCAATTAAGTCAATTATTTCTTTGAAAAAGTCTTGATTTGTTGCAACAGCGAGGCTAGTTAGTTTAAATTTCATTATTTAATTAAATAATTAGCATTTTATACTCGACTAGTTAATCATATTTATCATGAAAAACGCGTAGTTGGTCATGGTAATTCTCAAATACAGATTAAATTACTAATAATGATTTACAAGCAACTTAAAATATTATATAAATATTTATACAGTTGAGTCTGATTCAATGTTTCTGAATAGAGAAACTAATCTTGTTATATTATTATCAAAAAAAAAAAACTTTATATAAACTATTCAACTTTAATAAAGAAACATTATGTATTGCTATCACGTTTTTGAAATATTGTAACAGTGTCATACTATTCCCATAAAAAGAAATTTATTTGTTATTAAAGCTAAAATATGATCAATTCATTAAAAATAATTTTCTCCATTTGTTGGATATTTTGATAATGAAATTTTTTCAATTTATTCTACCGTGCTAAAAATCAATGAATGATCAATTGACTCTTTCAATGAATTCGCAATTTTTCTCATTTACTGGAGAACAAGAACAGATGGAATGATAAAGAGGTCATGATATATTTTATCATGATCAAAATATTCGCAGGATTTAGTTCTAGAGAATATTTGGTTAGAAGTTGAAATACGAAAATAAAGTTATGAGGAAATTGTGAAGTTTCAGCTGATGCTCATGAGTAATAGGGTAGAATGAGGTCAGAAAATAATAGAAGGGATGGTATTTGATGAATTGTCGTAGGGATTTGCGTGTGCTGGCAATATTATAGTATTATGTAGACGTAGAATATTGGTGAAAAAAACCATTTATTCCAAGTAGGTGTATAGGGTGATGAAGTGTAATATACGTATCAAAGACTTGAAAATCTTTTAAAATCACAAATGAAATCCACAAATGAAATGTTGATTTTGCGGAGGTTCAAGTAAATGACTATTAGTTTGTGAAAAAAAGTATGTATTCTTCAAACAAATTAAATAATTAATCTACCTTTATGACATTAATTAAACAAAAATTCAAGTTGTTTACTTGATGAAAAAAACATCACATCCAACAGATGATGGTGAAAATTTTAATTATATTTGTTGTGGAATTTTATCATTCATTTTATGAAAATCGTAAATAATGATTATAACGATTAAAGGATTATGTTTCGACTACTATTACGTAACTTACATTCATTAAGTAGTTTACGGAAGGTATTTTTTTTAATTAAGCGAGTTCAGTGCAGCATCCAACAATATTTTTTATTAATGAAGAAATCGATAAGTAAACAGTCAAGGAGATCAGATGATGCGATAACTGGCAGTGTAGGATTTTATTAAACGATCTTTCTCACGAAATAGAATATTACTAATAAATTTATTTTATTAGCTTACATAGGAATGGTCAAATAAATAATAAATTTATGCTCATTAGATGTAATCTTGTGAGAAGGAAAATGAAATAGTTGTATAAATAAATAGAATAAACTAGTTAAAAACAGAGTTAATTATTATTCTAGAGCAGTGAAGTATAAATTGAAATATTTATTAATTAAATAAACATAATGTCGTAACTGGTATTGATTAATAAGTTTTTTTGGTAGAAATTAATATGTAGGACATGAACTAATTTACTGAGTATTAAATAACAGTTGTAATGCAACAAAAGTTTTATGTAAATTAGATAAAACTGTTTAATATATTTCCATGATGAAATTTGATTCGGAAGGGTTTCGTTGAATAATAAATTTGATGTTAAAAGATATTTAAATCGTCGAATTATTCAGTGAAAAGTTGTGAACTGATGGTTAAAGTGTGCATCGGTATCTGTCAGCGATCACAAAGGGAATTTGAATAAGCCTGCAATTATTACGTGTTCCTCGGGAAAAAGCTTCTTTAATGTAATCTTGAAAAAATACATGTCCAAGAGACAGAAGTTTTTCACATCGTATATTTTCTTTTAGGTACTGAGAAAGCACAAAAAATATACAGTTCAGAGGTGTAATTAAAAAATCGAATATTTATAGGTCGTTAAAAAATCGGTAAACTTTTAATATGTATTCGTTTTTATTGAGTTATTTTATTCCATTTACATTTTTGAGAGAATACGTAAGTAAACGCTCGACTGCTCATGCAAGTACCTGTCGTTATTTATATGTAAACGAGTGTTCTATGTCATATGCTATGATTATTTTCCGATTTCTATCAAATACATTTAATTTAATTTCTCAAGAGCTCTAGGTGTCCGCGTCACTATCATAGATCATCAGATCTGCTACTTGAATAGATAATATTCACTTAACGGAATGGAAGAAAAAAAAGTAAAGAGTTGGATAAGAGCGGATACCATTTGCATATCTGCGCTTACCAAAAGTCATTTATGCGAAGACACGAGTCTTGTTCCAGCTCAAAGATGACACTGGATGAGGCAGTTTATAAACTTCCAGAATAATTATTTATCCAATTCAACACAAGCATTTTTGAATTTTCTTGTATATAAACATTTAACTACTTTAAATTTATTTGTTTACACTAAAGATTGTTTGATGAGGTTTTTGCAAATATTATTTTAGCAGTTCCACTGTTTTTAGATAAATTATCTTTACATACGTTAAATGCTATTGTTGCTGTTACGGAAATATTTTTTCTCTTTCATTTCATTTAAACCTTTGATATTCTTCAGTGAAAAAAATTAAATTAAAAAATAATTGAATCCAAAGTTTATAAAATATTTTCATTGAACTTGTAGTTTTTATTGGTTATATTATAAAATTGACTGGTTAATAATCTTATTAATCGTTACGTAGAATATTATTTTTTAACAACGAAAACGTATGAGAAAGATCAAATAATTTTATTTTCCATTAATTAATTTAACATTTTTCTTTGCACTCAAATCAATTAATTTTTCTGTGTCTCGATTTGTATTATATTATCATGTAATAATTTTATACAAAGCTTTGGAGTGTTTTTCTGAAAGAACTCTATTTTTCATAAAATATTTATAAGTAGAAACATCAGGCTTTATTCAGACACTTTGAAATGAAGGAAGTCGAACATAATCATTGATTGAATGCTTAGATTTTCACCTCTAGTGATGATAATAATAACCTAAAGTTCCATTTCTAACTGAATAGTCACAATTTCCTTCGAATCATCTACATTGATGAGGGTTATTTGGAAATGATAGGGCAAATTGAAACAGAATCATACATAATTCAATGTTTCTCATTATTCTATTTTAGGGTTCAGATAACATTATATAATTATCATTCAATATTGATTTTATCTCAAAATTTGGATTAAAATTTGTATTCAAATCTTTTGTTAAAATAATCAGAAAAAATTGGCAACGCTTCTACCAAAATGGGTGTTTCTGAGAAACACCCATACGTCTAAAATAGGAAATCACAATCGTGGAGAAGGTCTGGAAATTGTTAAATATTCTGTTGCCAAATCATTCATCAGAAATGAAAAAAAAAACTAGATTTGTTCGTTATAATGTAAATAACAAAACTTATCTAACAACAAAAAAACTTGCTGGAAAAAACTTTAGTTTCAATTCATGCAACTTTCTATCTTTTTCAATATTTATTGTTCATGTACACAAATAAAATGTAAATGCAAAGCAACATAAAAGTTTAAAAAAATTCCATTTGAAGTGAATTGAATCAATCAAACGTATATATTTTTGGAAAATTGTTTCGATTACTTTTCGATACAAAAAAGCATTAAAAGTAAATATAAAACGATGAAAAATCTAACAAGTTGATTTTTCTCACGAGGTTGAGTAAATTATATGGATGAATAATCTGTATAAATTGTTTACGAGTTCAAATCGTAAATCTGTCAAACTGAGAGAGCATTCACAACTTAATTACTCTACTAGACCGACAATGAGTGTAATTGT